GAAATCTGAAAAAACCTTTTTGGAAAGAGGGAGCGGGAGAGGTCGTGTGGGAGAGAAGGGGGAGGGGGTTGGGGTTAGATGTGAGGGTATGTGTAACTTTTTTCCTCTAATTTCGGAAAAATATAATATCTAGGAAAATATTTTCCAAATTATTTTGTGCAACCAAATAGTGAAAAATGAGAAATTTTCCGTCGTACCAAACACACCCATAATGTCATTTTTTTCTAAGTCAATTACAAGTTAAATTGTAACAAAGATTGTTACTTGCGCAATATGCTAATTGCAAAACTAATCAAAGAAGCAGATAAGAATCACACCATGTGTTTGCAGTCAGCATTTGGACCTGTAAGTGCAGTAACAAAAATTTCGCAGCCACCAAAAATTAATTGAAAAAGAATTACTAGTATTAATAGCACAAAAAAGAAAAAAGGCAACATAGGGGTAATGAGGTAATTTCATCACATGAATCCTGCTCAGCCAGCTCCTGCGAATCTCTCTGCTCTTTCGNTCAAATCAAACCTGAAAATCCCAATTATCCATTTTTGTTCCCTTTAACTTTCACCATCAAAAAATTTTCCCCTTTATCTGTGTTTCTTCCCCAATTCAAGAAACCTATTATTGGTTTAAAGGTCAGTTTTTTATCACTCTTTTTGGTCTTATTTAGACATATATGCTATTGTTCTTCCTCAATTTAATATGGGTATCTGCTAAAAATTTGTAATATTTGGTATTTACTAAAAAGTTTTGATTTTGGGTATTTGCTCAAAAAGTTGTAATTTTTAGTATTTACTAAAAAGTTGTAAGTTTGGGTATTTGCTAAAAAGTTGTGATTTTGAGGATACCCTTTAGCTTTTCTTGGACAAATTCTTGGCCAATTTGAGTGGTGAATTTAACTTTTATATGGATTTGTGGTAAAGAGCTGTAATTTGGGGTTTTGGGTATTTAAGTTGTTGTGAATGTGATTTTTGAGCTTCTTAAAGTTTGTTGAATTGAGTGGTGGAGTTAGTTTTTATTTGATGATGCCACAACCAAGAAGAAAAAAGTGGACTGAGGCAGAAGAAAGAACTTTAATTGATAAGTATGGTGAGATGTTATGTGATGGGAGTTTAGCTAAGATGAAAACTAGGGAAAAGAAGTATAGACCTATTGCTTTACATGTAAATTCTGTGCACCATGTTCGTGATCCGATCACGTATCCATGGCAATGGACTTGGAAGGATGTGTCAACTAAAGTGCAGAATATGAGGCACCAGTATACATTAGTGAAGCAGAAGATTAAGAAGCCAAACTCTGGGGAGGATGAGTCGGGTGTTGGGGAGGAGTTTGATTGGATGGAGGGGTTAACTCATTGGTCGAACTTCTTGAGGTATAAGGAAGTGTTTGGGGATGTGAATACGCTTGTTTTCAGTTGTAGTGACTCCATGGCGGTTGTAGGAGACGGGATTGAAAATCGTGTGGGATTTGATGGGACTGGTAATGGTATCGGGATTGATCAATTCGGGCATCTAGGTCATGCTGGCGACGGTGATTTTGCCGGAGGTATTAATGGGGTGGATCATGGTGTTACCGGTATGGAGTTTGATTATGATGGGGAAGAAGGAGAGGGGAATTTCAATGGTAATATTAGGAGGAATAGTCATATGAAGGAAGATGTGGACGATGGATTTGTTTACGAAGATATCGAGGCAACTGGATCCGATACGAGAAAGAAGAAGAAGATGTTGAAAGGGGTAGAGAAGAGGGCATGGGGTTTTCTTGCAACGCAGTTGGCACACTTAAAGGAAATGGAAGCTCGGTTCGAGCAACGTGATGCTGAGAGAGAGCGGGAGAGGCAGAGGAGAGAACATCTTAGAACGGAACTTGAACAAGAACGTGAGAGAAAATGGGAGGAAAGAGAAAGAGAGAGGGAAGAAAGGGAGAAAACGATGGAGAAGTTGCAGAGACAGAGAATTCAAGAATGGGAAATAATGGAGAAGGAAAGTGAGGAGAGAGAGAGGAGGAGAAGAGAGGAACAACTTATATTTGAAAGAGAACGTGAAGAAAGAATGAACAAGAGGAGATTAGACTGGAAGAAGAGGATTGACGAGACGTTAGGTCAGCATCGCGCTGATATGAGCCAGATCCAGACTCGAATACTTCACGAACAACAAAATCTTACTAGTCAGCTGCTCGGAATTTTTTCTCAGTGGACTGGTCATCCAACCGGGATTTCTGATCACACAGGAGCTAACCATTATCTTTCACAAATGATACAAAACTTGCACCATGTGAATGGTATGGTTCATGGCGATGCAAGAGTTGAAGGAGATGCTCAAGAAGATCAATTTATTGTAGATGGATGAATAAAAGGATGTCTTTTATTATTTACATCGATCACCTGAAGAGGAAAGGTGCATTTAGCCTTGCAAGACATGAACAAGTGTAAAGGTCAGTAACTTGTAATTTGTATTATTTTATATTAGGTTCTGTTCAGAGCCTATGTATTTGAATAATGTTTCCTATATCGCCTTTTTAGTGTAGCCAGTATAGAATGTAGAGCTCTCAGCCTTTTAAGTTTTTATGTCGTCATTGTTCAATAAACATCTTTATATAATACCATAATTTTTGCAGTGATTTTTTGACCTTTTTGTTCTTCCATCAAGGTTCTAATTAACACCAAAAACAAGCGGGCTC